GATTGCAACATGAGGAAAAAGGAACATGAGAAACTAGAGAAATACCAGGGGCTCAGAGAAGAGCTGGAGAAAACTTAGAAGGTCAGAGCAACAGTGGTAAACGTGGTCATTGGGGCCCTTACAGCAGACCCCTGGAAATACATCAGACATCTCGGTCCAGAAGAGTGCGGTTCTAGGAACAGCAAAGATACTGGCAGAACCCTCAAGCTCCCAGGCCTCTGGTAGAGCACCCCAGCTTGGAGGAAATAAGGGGGGAAGACCGCCCGCGATGGGTGAGGAAGAGTTTTTTTTTTATATATATATACATGTGTTTATACTACCAACCATTTACAACGCATGAATATAAAGTTTCAAATTTATTGATACATTTTATGCAAATATATTGTGATCTCTTAACAAGCCTTTTTTATATTCAAATGCACGTTTTGTATGTTAACATGCGTGCAAAGTTGTTTACAAATATAAAGAGCAAAGCTAAGCTAACGAAGCAGACAGAGACTCTCATTCGCCTGATTGGCCAGCTGCTCTTAAAGATGTTGGAATGTTTTAGACATGAAACAGTGATTTAAGGTGGACCTGAGCAAAATCAAAAATAAAACCTATATGCAAGCTTTGACGTAACACCCCCGCTGCCATCAGAAGGTTTTGGTGCCATTGGGTTGCTCTTTGCAGAAGGGATGAGTGGAAGTGCTGTTGTTGTTGTTGTGGCTTCTTCTGTGCGTCTCGCTGGTGTTCGATGACCCGCCTCTCTCCAGTATGTTGATCTTTCCTTGTTCTTGTCTCATAAAGAGTTCGACGAGCAGAATCTTCTCCTTGTGGATCTGTTGGCTGATATCTTTGGGGATGTCTGGGATTAGCCAGTCAACGATATCGTTCATCAGCATCACAACGTTCTGACAGAAGGAAACAAAATGGATTTATAACTGAGGCGAAGGTCCTTTGTCTTATAAACATAATGAGCAAAGGCACATGCAGCTCTGTCAAAGTTTTAACACCTTTATTGTTTTTGCTTTGCAACATTTTCAATTGACATCATTTCCCTTTGAATTTCTTTGGTATGATCTTTTTTCTAGGCTGTTTGTAAAAAGTTGAAAAATATAAAAACAAAAACATTCAGAATCAAGAATCTTCAGTCATTTTATGATGTTTAAGAACTGTTTAGATGATAATGTTTCTGTTCACCTGGAAAACAATGACAAAGGCCAGGCGCACGGCCAGCACCGCCCAGAAATCCTTGGAGATTTCATACGGGGTGGAGGACCAAGGAGGCTCTCTGTAATCCTTATACCTGGAAAACACACATAAAGCCAGCTTATCATCTACTAAATTTTTCTTTGTGTCAACTTGTAACAAATTATATTCAGAACGCACTTCAAATATAATCTTCTATCTACTTCAGTTTTCAGCATGGTTTCCAAAAATGATTGACGGGCTCCAAACCCTCCACCTTATGCTCAAGATCACAATAATAATAATAATAATAATAATAACAATTATGATAATGATTTATTATATATTAATCAGGATTGTTTGTTATGTTATGATAATATCAGACCAAGCTC